ACTTCTGGTTGAGGAGAGGATCTTCGGTATGGATGATAGTATCTTGATGGTCTTTCATTTTTAAATTTTAATGACGATGCAGAAGGACTACTACCACGTCCATTATATTCATCGCTTCTGCTTTTGCCCTTATAATCACTACCGCTACTACTACGTCTAATATAATCATCATTTCTTCCTTTGCCTTTATAATCATTACTAACACCATTATAATCATCGCTTCTACCTTTGCCCTTATAGTCACCATTATAATTATTATTATTATTATAACCGTTTCCCTGATGGCCATAACGTTGACCAAAATTATTATAATCGTATCGTAATGACTTATTGGCTAAATTGTAAGAGTTTCTGGATTTCTTTCTTTTCATGTCTGGAGTTAAGAAGATAGGAGGAGGGGGGCGTTTGTATACGACATCGTGAAATTGGTTAAGCCAATAAGTGAACTGTGACAAGTTTTGGAAGGCATAGTTACTCTCAGTGTAACGACAGTAATAATCATGAGTAGAATCGTATTTTTTGGTATCCGTGTTATATTTTTGCTTCAATTCCTCTTCACGTTTCTTTTTCTCCTCCTCTTTGCGTTTCTTTTGCTCCTCTTCTTTTTGACGCCTAACTTCTGGTGGTTCTAATCCAAGATCACTATATTTTGGTGGTTTAATGTATACAGGAAGAGCGTTCCATTTTTCTACCAACTATTAAAAAATTAATAAATGTGTGTGGGAGTATAAGATGTATTTTAATAAATATTTATTATATAAATGACAAAGAAAGATATTTGTACTTTACCTTACTGCAACGTTCACCAATTTCGTCAGTTCGATTTACGAAACGAGAAACCCATTCTTTAAGATGTGAATTTTCAACTCGTACATTCTTGTATTTGTAAGGAATTTTTTCGATAACATTTAATGTCTAGATTATTATTATTTAATTTAAAAGAAAAAATTAAAAATCATCATTATTGTTATTTAATCAACGAATAAATAGATTTATACTTTTGAGATAATATCATCGTTTTTTTGATGCTCGTATAAATAAGTCTTTAACATGATTGATCCGTGAAGCTATTAATTAATTCATTAGAATTAAAGGTCATTAATATATTTATTTAATATATATATATATAATCGTATGAATTAGATAGATCATTATTGTAATTCACCTTCATAAACCTATAGATTGTACTTCTGTCTGTCGTCAACTATATAAGATAACAAAGAATTTAGTGCATCGTAATAATTACATTGGTTAATATTTAATTTACTTCATTGTCAAGAAAAATATATAAATTTAATGTTTACTTCAAGCCTGTGTAAAAGCCCAGGAACCATAGCAGGATATTTCTCAACCGATTTCAACATCAATCCAATGAATTCAAGGACAGATTCAGGACCATTGATTGGTTCTTCAAGATTTGCCACATTTAACAAACTATATAATAGAGCGTCAACTGTTTCCTTAGTTCCGCCGATGATACCACGACAATTAGATTCACCACAAAAACATTCTTGAGCCTCGGATCTATTTTTTTCCAGCACCAAATAGAGAATAAATAAATAAATAAATAAATATTTTTTATTCACGTGTGCAAGGTAATAATAACAAGTTATATCCTGTTAATTTAAAAATAATATATTTATGTTAAATATATTATGTACCCATATCTTTCAGCATTGTAGTCGAACGTTAATTCTTCATCCTTAATAATATCTCTGCTGGCAAAAATTCCAATACGATAATATTTTCCAACCATCCATTTTTGTATAAAGCAATTTGGATTGCACGAATGGTTGATGAATCTTCCGATATCCCCACGGTCAGTCGCATCAATTATCTGTTAAGCCAAACAATAAGCCAAAGATTATAAAAAAATAAGTACGAGATATATAATATTAAAGAAACACACGATCATATAATTGATTATATATATGTAATTAATGAGATATTCATAATATTTATAATAATATATTGATTGATCATTAACCTCTCCCGCCTGCAATCCCATGAAATAAAAATGTTTTAACCCCCTCTTGTTGTATTCCTTCATTCTTTTCAAGAAAACATCCTTCTGGATGACGTCCCCAATATATTCAATAATAAATTGATTTCTAATTTATGTAGTTGATAACGAATGACGAAAACCAAATTATAATTAATAAAAATATATAGGAGTACGTGGCGATCGATATAATAAATAGTATGATCCATACTTTTTCAAGGGCTCTAAGGCCCGAAGACCAAAGCCTTTGGGGGGGACAAGAATCACATCCACGTCCGCCGTCTGTCCTTTTTGTATTCTATTAAAATTCAGATTAAGATAATTATAAAGAATTTAAATATTTAATTAATGTCAAAAGGATCTAAGATAATGAAAAATATATGTAAATGTAAATATTTATTATACCTTCTGTTTCGACAATATTCACCACAGGGACAAAGCTCATCAGAACATTCTATGAATAATTCCCGATTTACGCAAGAGTCTCCACAGGCATTCTCAATAGGATCCCGAGCTATTATTATTTATACAATTAACAAACGATTTAAAAAGAGTATGAATTTCATTTAGAATTAATAATTCTTTGGTGAGCAATTAAAGATAAATTAGTATCTTTTTAAAATAATGCAAATTGTTAAATTACCTGGGCGATAGCTGCAGTCACAGGAGTAATTGTCCTCGGGGTGTTTCACCAAACCTACATTACCGTAATATTTATTTTTTTTTATTTTTTTGAAGCATGCAAGTGCCTCTGTGAGTTTTGATGGCTTGTCACTGTATAGTTTTACCATATTGAAGGAAGTATGATTTATGATTTTTTTATCTCAAGAAAGAATTGAATGTATATTTATAAAGATGATGATAAAATCTATAAATTTCTAGCAGTAATTTTATCAATAAAATGATTTTTTTTTTCTTAGTTGAAAAAGTTTTTGGAAAAAAATTGTACAGACCAAATTCTGTGCCTATTTAAATTTACATTGTAGTACAATCCCAACCCTCCTCCCTATGAAAAAAAAAAAAATTTGTAACCCTTATTAAATTTCATTTTAGGTTGATCAACTAAAAAAAAACAGGTTTTTAAAAAATCACACTAAAATTTAGGGATAATTTCATAATTAGACCACTGATTTATCTTTAATATTGTAAAAAAAACTGAATGAAGAAAAGGAAACGAAAAGACGAAATGAAGCGTCAGAAATTGAGCAAATTAGTTAGAACTTATTTGGAAAGTATTAATTCATTAGCAGTAATAGAAAACGAGTTTTGATTTTTCTGGCAAAAATGTTGTCATCATCATAAAAATCATGTAAATCATTCATGTTTTGATTAGCATTCATCTATGTACTCGAGAATCTGTGTACAATTAACATACACATGGAAGAATGTAAAATCTTTTTTTTATCAAAAATTTTTTGGGCGTTATTATTAATATTAATATTGTTAGTATAATATTAATGTTTTTACAAATAATAAATTTTGCATTTTCAAACTTCTTTTTTACTGCTACTTATTATATACCACTATTACAGTCAGACGAATGATGATTTGATAAACAAACGTACGTGATAAATCAATGTTGTATTATTATCTACCTATTAAAATTGATCTCTATAAGCCGATTTTATTAATATTTTTATTTTGAATTTGGTTTAATGAGTTCTGACTATAATTGGTAAATTTTCTTTAGTCAATATTCACACATGGATCTTTCATTTTATCATGTAAAATCAAAAAAAAATTGAGCAATATTTATTATCCAAGTTTAAAAATCACCAATTATTATTAGGATATTAAATTGGTGAAATATCAATAAAACCAATAGCAATAATGATTTGTCAACCAGAAAGAATCCTATTGATGGTGGGTGAGGCAATAAGACTGATGAGATGATATTATGATGAGATAAAATGAACATTACACCACATAAAGATTTCTAACTCAGACTTTCATAAACCAATATTGGACACCAACTACACATTAAATTAGATTGTCATTCTATATGGTTAATGCATTTCATTATTGAAAATTGAAAATACATCATTCTCTATTGTTTAAAGCATCTGCAATATTTTTACAAATGTTGGAAAATGTCATATAATTGTTAGAAATAGCCGTCATTCTTGATTTGATCCACTTCTTGGATCTTTTGTTACTACTTGTAAATAGCCCTTTTTATGCATCCTTATGACAAAAAAATTGCATATTGATATTATAGTTGTGCCTAAGGTTTCTGGTCCAAACTGTTTTCTCAAAGCCCAAACTAGTTTGGGCAATTTGAGCTTCTCAGTATTTTTTATAAACATGAACATTAAAAACTATACCAATCAACTTATTTTAACTTAAACAACTTTAAAGTAATTTCGCCCAATTTTGGCTAATAACAAAAAATAGTTTGGGCTTATAAAAAAGTAATTTTTTGCCAAAGTGTTTCAGCAATTTCGGCTACTAATTGAGAGAGTTTCGGTCAGAAATCTTAGTTGTGCCCACCAGGCAGTTGAGTCACCAATAATTCACAGAATTTTTGTGATATTTTTGGACAGTAATCTGAATAAGAATTAATCTTATAGATTCTTGTTGCTCATCCTTTCATTGAATTAACAATGCATCAATTTGAATTTTTGTGGATATAAAGAGAACAATCAATCTCCGAGTCAAGCTGAAGTGATTCTTTTGACTTTAAGAAGCATATCAGTGTTAGCCTTATAGAGAAATTGTCAACAATGAATCCATTGTTTTAAATGGTGATGCTCAGGCATACTTGTTCCAGTTTTGGATGGTTTATCTTTATCCATAATCCATCCAAACCAGTTCCAAGTCATATCATATTAATTGTCAACTGAGAGAGAATATTGGACAGATACTTCTAACAAGAACCTCCCATTAACTTTATATGCTTATCAAACAGCTCTAGCCATTTTGACTTCTTTTAATCTTCTGAGAACATCATCAAACTCTTCAAGCCTCATTCAATGTTGCAAACTTCTGGTTCAAAGCATCAGTAAGGCTCCTCATTTCCTGACATCCAATAAAATGCCAAAGAAACAGTGGAATTTTGCCAGCAGCCAGCATCAATAAGTTGTTCTCTCTCATTGTCAGTCATTAATGATGGCTTATCTTTGTCACTCCCCATCCTCACCAGTGTTGTGACCAGAAACTCTTTTGGCTTCCCGAAACATTTCGGAAAATGAACTTCACTAAGCAGAAATCTAAACCTAAACATAAACATAAACTACTAACCTAAACTAGTTTCGGGTGGTTTCTGTTAGTTTCTGTTTCTGGTTTTCCCTAAACTCAGAGTTTCGGGTCACAACACTGATCCTCACTCTTCAAAAAAAAAAAAAAAGAATCAATTTCAAAGTAATTTACAGTTCTTTGAGAAACACTATTTATCTCTGGAAACCAGCAAGACTTTGATTTAATTTATGATAAATGTCATTACAATTGTTATGGTCAGATAATAATTGAATACCAACTTTTTCTTTTTTTGATATGTAACAACAAAATATGTTTTACCTTGCTTTCATCAAAAGGTCTCAAGTTGTTATATTATTATTTTAGTATAAGATATGTTGCTGTGCATTATCATCATTTCCAAAGTCAAGATTAAGGCTTCTTGGATATCAGCCTGTTTTTTTTTTTATGAATAGAGGCAGACCAGTGTTGTAAGAATGTGTGATTTTCATAACTAATTGTTACATAGACAAAGGGTTTCATATGATGAATTACACTAATCAAGTCTACAGCCTCCAGGACTTCCGAAGACTTCTCTCAGTCCATGTAAGTGAAATTTCTGACAAATTGAATTTTTTTATGTAGGCTTCATTTTTCCAGCAAATGGAAATGGCAACGTCACATATGTTTTAAGCTTCTTTAGAATTAGAGATTAACATAATAAGACTACTGAGGTCTTTAGCTGTTATACAAGTGTCTTTTGAAAGAAATTTGAGTTAAAATGAAATGGAAATATATTCACAAGAAAGGGTGTATGACTGTATTAGTCAGGAACAGTATAACTCAAGTAATCCAGTTGAATGAGTTGGCCCAATATTTAATGGATCAAGCTGAAATATGTAACAAATCAATTAACTTCAAAAATCCTTAGACATGTATAAAAAAAAAATCCATCTTTGCCAAGTTGTCTCTAAAATTATCATTAAAAAATTGTTGATAATAATCATTGACATCATCAAGGAAACATTAATCAATAATATTATATAAAATAAAGGATTATTATAGAATATTGATTGGCAATATAATGGCCATTTTGATTTTACATGGAATAAATACCATTACACATATTGTAACAATCCTCGAAATAATATGTCACACAAATGGCATTTAATTTTATTACCATATTTGGTAAGAGGAATTCATTTTTTTTTTTAATCGTTTAATTTAAGTTACTTGGCAATCGGGATTTTTGGTGAAGAATTATACATATTTTTATTAAGAAAAGTGGATATTATATTGTTATGTTATATTGTGGGGAACATAATCATATTATTATTTTTATTTATATTATTTATAATTAAGAAGTTATCTTTAAATTATGATCAATACTTTCCGGGAAGTCTATAAGCTTCCATACAATATATAGATTATATATTTATTTATTTTCTTATGATTTATATTTGTATTTTAAGAACTGTATTTTTATTATTTAAAGATGTAAAATTCAAACAAATAAAGATAACTTTTATATAATTTTACAACAATAAAATTATCAGTTCATTAACAGTGTTAAATAATATCTAAACGTTTGTAAATAATTGTGATAATTATTTGAACGTTTACACATATCTATTTTTTGACACACATGGACTTAAATACCATTGGAAAACTATTTTATTATAATTCCTTTCTGATCCTCTCAAATTTTTACATACATCTAATCATGTAGTTGTATGTTTTATTTTGTATATTCTTAAACAACAAAAAAAGATGGTAATTAATTCATTAAAGGAATAATAAAAGCTTCTGCCTCAAGAGATTGGTCAGAAATTCAACAAATTTGATAAAAGAATAAATTTAATGTGCAAAGGAATTCAACAAAAAATGTGAAGAAAGTGTCTATTCAGGTAATTCTCAAGGTAGGTGGTTCAGGTCCATTCCTTTATGCAGCATTGTTTGGTTTTCCAGGAGAACAACCTGATTAACAGCATACCGTGTATTAATAATGCATTAAAATTTGGAGATAATAAAAAAATTATTTGCGACATTCTCTAGTTCTGAAAAACCTTGTTGGAATTTTTTTGGAATTTCTTGGAGGTTGGTTTGCTATGCTGTATGTCCTGCTTGCATTTGGTCATTTGTATTAACCATGCACTTGTACTGTGGAAAGTAGATGGTACTACATACCACATGCAGAAAAGATTTATTTACTATATAAAAAATGATTTATTTGTATGACATAATGCTTTTGCTTTTAGTATTCCCTCAAAACTTTAGAAAATGTCCAAATTATCCTGGCCAGGCAGGCAAGCATAGTAATGGAATAATAAGAAAGAGCTCTTTTATATTATTGAAAAAGCACAAGCACAACCTTTGTTCATTATTAGATTTTTTGACTACATTATTGTGAACTTGCCATAATCAGTAAGGCCTCAATGGTGTGTGAACCAAATGATTTCTGTGAGGAGCCAAAATAAAAAAGTTGAATTCAATGATGTTAGGTAGTTTTTTTCAACTCGGGGCATAAGGATATAAATCTTACATTTGTATAAAAATTATACAATTTTTGTAAAACCAACACAGATGGCTGAATGTGGTATGATACTCAGCAATTTAAAAGTAATTGTTTGAATAAATGTTGGTTTTTCAACCACCAAGTGATGGGAGTACTCTTAATGAATCATAATCCAAATCAAGGGATCTATTTTTAACCAATATTTACAAATCTGAGAAGTTAAAAACAAGTGACTGCATCTGTATCATATCCCATTTTTTGAAGCAAGGAACCAACCAACAAACAATTATCCCTAAAAACCTTGTCTTTCAATCCACATCCTTCAACATAAATACTTTATAAATAACTGGTTTATAAAAAAATTACTTACCATGATACTTTGGATGAAGAAAGTATGTTAAGTGTAATTCAATGCGTGCTATAATGAATTTTTGATCATTCAAACTTGTCATTTTTTCAGTTTATTTTTATTAAACTTCAAATATAAAATTAAGGACAATAATTTTATTAAATAAAATATTAAACCACCATTTTTTTTCTTAACACCCTGTGTATGGATGAGGCTTAGATAAATATATATTAATAAGCAATTATATATACCTTCTTTTAGCTTACAGAATAGGTTTTCTAGTCAATCTTTATTTTTGTTTGTCACGTCGACGGTCATGAGTTTTTGAGTTGGTTCTTTGTAGTTGATTATATATTGTTTAAATTTTTTGAATACTTTTGTTATCTCTTCTCCAATTCTCCGTGAAATACCATTGATATTGCGATAACTGCAATTTTTTTTGATGCGAGTAAATAATTTCAAATAATGATAGATCACACATGTCTATTTCAATTGGTGAAATTGGTATGTCTTCTGTGAAGTGATAAAGGATTAACTGTAGTTAATTGATTTTCAACATATTTGAGATATAAAATATATATTTATTATATTTGTATTGTATGTATGATGACATTTTTTGTTTTGTAGGAAGTGAGAGGAGGAACAGCATGAAAAGAAAAAATTAGGCCTTTTTTATAAGAAAAATTTTCTGTTTTTCTAAATAGTGAATGGATTCTGATTATCATTGTTATCAAAATATATTAAAAGCAGAAACTTTTTATTATAATTCACATCCAAATAAGATAAAGCTCATATGAAATCATGTTCAATTTTTTTTGGTGTAAATCAGTAACAAAACATCCTGACTTTACATGTGGGAAGCCGCCAGTTTAAGTTATTATTAGCCTCTTGATAGTTGAACTTCAAAATTTTTTTCTGTTATCTGACTAGATATATTAATGTTAAAATATATGAATATTTGATTCTGTGCATGTGCATTTTATCATTTTAAAAAAAAAAGATTTTAGAATATATATATATCTACAGTCAGATAGACCTCTATATAATCACATCCTTGGAATGGCACGAAATGCGTACTTATAGAGAGGCATTCTCACATAGAGCACCTCTCTATATATAATCACTCGTAAGTGTTCTTACATTCAATGTAATTTAATTCAATTGTTCTTTTTTTTGTCTAATTCGTTTCTTATTTGCTCAAACAAATTTACATCAGGAAAATGGGCACAAATATTATGCGTATATAATACGCAATTGCAGGGATTAAGCATAATATATGTACAATTTGCATACATAAAAAAATACACAATTTGTACGCATATTATATGTTTAATCCCTGCAATTGTGTATTATATACGCATAATATTTGTATAGTGCAAGTCACTTAGTCCCACAACTTTCTGCGCCACACTGCCAATTTTGGGAAAAATTCCCAATCAAAAATGCAATAAAAATTTTATGGTCACATGATTTTTGTTTTGTTGTAAAATTCTTTTTTGATTCATGTCTGGGAAATTCACGTGATAAAAGATCAGCAATATAAAAAAAAATTTTTATTTTTATTTTCTTTCAATTCGCCTATTTTTGATATTAACTTTTTTGTGTGTAACACGCCATTTCAGGGCTAAAACATAGTAAATTCGGTAAACTTGTGCAACTTTGAAGCTCAAATTCTCCACAACAACATGACATACCAATGAGATGAAATCGTGATTTTGCAGAGGAAGGTCTTGGCTTCAAATACACGATTTATTTTTGGGTGTTGCATTTCCATTTTTGGAGAATTTGAAAATCTACACGACCAATAAAAAGTTGTGGGACTAAGTGATTTGCACTGTACCCATTTTCCTGATGTACAAATAATACTAAAGCATCCTTTTTTATATTTTTTACCTATTGTTCTTTCCACTTTTTAACACGGATTGTTAACTGTTGAATCAATATCTGATGTTTCTGCTGGTGAAGACATTGAAACAATTTCTGACAATTTATTTAATAGAAGAGATGCTCTTGAAGCTGATAAAATTAGTATCAATAATGATTTTGCCTCCCCACATACTTGATAAAGAATTTAGATGATGTGATTTATACTTAAAGGTGGTAAATACAGAGCTTTCAACACAAAGTTGGTATAAAATTTCGCTAGAAAGCCAATTTTGGATTAGGAATGGAATTACGTAAATTTTTCGTTGGTGTTAGGAAAAAGGTGGAGACTTTTATAAGTCGTGTTCATTATATGTTAGTTTTTGTGCAATAGTACGAGGACTTAAGCAGGATATGCTAAACTTGGATTTAATAAAACAAATATTGAGTAAAATCAAGATACCAACAATGAAAGCATGAAATGTTACATATTTTAGAACATCCATTATTAAACCTGGGTGAAACCCTCTCCCTCACAAAAAAGTGACCTTTTTGTGGGGGAGATCTAAAGGACTTGAAGATTCTTGGATGATAATAAGAGTGTAACTGTGCCACTTCCCAGAGATGATATCAGCCGTTAAACAAACCTTAGCTGGTTAATAAATTATTTATCTTGGATAAAATAATATATATTTATATGAATGACCAAAAAATCGATAAAAAATCTAAATAATAATCATTTAAAAAGCATTGAATTTTCTTTTAACAAAGAATATATACATTTTACCAAATCTGTTTCTTTACTTTGTAAACACATTTCCAGCTGATGAAAACAACCTCTCGGATAGTACTGAGCTCTCCGGTATTTTCAAGTAAATTTAATTTGAACAACAAGATTTGTAAAATTACTTTTTTTGTTGTACTGTAGTACCTATTAAGCAATCGAAATAAAAAATTGGCTAATAAAATTGTCAACTGTAAAGACTTATTCCCCTTTTATTTGATTATTATCAAAAACCAATGATGAGGCTGACTTCTGAGAAGTGCCCGGCCAAGCTAAATCAAATTGGCTTAGCCGGTATTATTTATTATCAAAACATTATTACATTATTACTATAATAAGAAATTTATCTATACATATATTAACATTGTCAATAGAAGTAGTGATGTCATCTTGCATTTCTAAAAAGTCCATATTTATTTGTATTGAATATGTCATATGATTTTATAACGACAAAAACGAAATCTTTGAATTTTTTGTTATTTTTAATGATAAAAATAATTAGATATGCATCTAATGATCATCATTATTAAAATTTTCTCCTTCACAATTAAATTTAAACTTTAATATATACAAATGAACACATTCTCTACAATAAAACAATTACTAATTTTACAAAAAATTCCTTCCCAAAGAATCATTTTGTTTATTCACCAATGCTTATTTTACTTTGTTATTAATATATAACGTTACTAATAATAAGAAGTAAAATGATAAATGCATTAACCGTTTTTGTTAAAAATTCGATAAATATGGAAGGCTACATGCACCAAAACCATCAGCTACAGATTTTATTATTATTATACATTCTCAATGTCTTCCTTCCACGGATGAGAATTTTGAATTATCTGTCTTTTTAAATGATAATTAGTAACAAAGTGTTTATTGCAATTTTTTTCCCCATAAAGAATATTAATCAAGTAATAATAATAACTCGGGAAATACTTGGCCAAAAGTTTTACTCGTTCAATTGATTTCTCTACTGGTACACGTCACCGTTGTTCTTTCTTTTTAGTTTCACATTGTATTGATCGACAAAATGGCTTAGATTTTGATAAGCACGACTGGTTGGGGTGCTACAAATTATAATAAACACAAACATAGTTGAGCACACATATAAAAAATCATATGTGCGGATTTTTCGCCGATCAATA